ACAAAAGCTGATGAAATTTTGACGAAGTAGGTTTGATTGTTGGAGGATTGGACAATGTTCAAACGTATGGTTTGATGTTTGTCCAGTCATCATATTGCAGACAAGGCATGGTTTATTAAACAAAGTCAGGTTGGCCTTGATTTGATTGATTGTCATGGAGTAGGCGAGGTCAAGGAAATCATCGTCAACGTTGATGGTCTGAATTCGATTTACCGAGGCCGTTTTGGTTGCAGATTCAGGGTGTTTATAAGTCTGAGTATTCGTGATGAATTTGCAAGCCTGGTTTTGGTGTAATGGTTGAGTGAGAGCCGGACTATTTGGAAGGTTCAAATATTGCTGGAGAGTAGCAAAAATGTTTGATGGTTCAAATTTGTGCTTGAGGTGTGTAAAGTCCTGCTTGCGGCGAATTTCAGTTTGGAGGAAAGACGAGTAATTGCAACCACTGACAAAGTGTTCTTGTTCATTTTTGTTGTAAACCGTTTGCTTGTTATCTTCGACTAAAGCTCAGAGCATGATGTAATGGTTTTATTTCTTCCAATATTCCATGAGGGAAAGTGAACCTTGGGTGGGACGCATTGTAACTAGAGAGGACGGGGATTCAATTAGAAAAGGGTGATTTGAGCAGATGATCGCTTTCAATGCTTCATATCCATGTCCATTGTAGAGTTTGACAACGTGAAGGAATTTATCACGGGATGCACAAGCTTGGTGAAGAACATCCCAGATAACTTGGGAGTCGGTTGATATTTTTGTTTCAAAAGTTGAGTTAAGGTCGTTGTTGTCATCCATGCCAATGGTGAAGCCTTGAGGGTGAGTACAGTCAGGACGGAAGCAAGGGTATGGATGGCAGTATTTACCATAACCGGCACAATGGGTTGTGAAGCACATGTGCCAATTGTAGAGTTCATAGGATGTTTCACCTGTCATTTTATTGACATTGTTGCGGAAGTTCTTTTCACTTTGTGGTCCGAGATCGATGAGGACAAAATAGGAGCCATCGTGAGTGACAAAACCTGATGACAAGTGTTTGGTGTCACAAGCGTAATTTTGGAATCCAGGAGTCCCTGTAGTGTCAAAAACTTTGGCGAGGGTGTTGCTGGTATGGAACTTGCACGGTTCTTTGTTAAACTTGTAATGGGCATTTACACCAGTGGCGAAGTTGACTGGAATGAAAGGATCAATGCTAGTGGGGGTCCCCGGCGTTTTTGGTTTTGGAGCAAGACTCTTGATTGCGTCAGCAGTGTTCTTCAAGATTTCGTTGTTTTGTTCCCAAAGTTTAAGGATGGCAGGGTCCTGAGTTTGAGTTCCAGTCGTAGTTTGAGGCTTTGTGGCGGGGTTGATAGACGGAAACAGGGTGGCGCTGAAACAGTGCAAAGTTGTAAATATCTTTGGGTTTTACTCTTTCGTCAAGGTAAAAGGGTGACCAATTGATGTAAAGAACGAGCGCATTGGGCTGGTCGCTCTTGGATACGAAGTTTAGAGCCTTGTCAAGGTTGGTATTGTTAGTGTCCAAGAGTTGCACGCGTTTGTTCTTTGCAATGTCAACAAGGAGTGTCGTCTTCGTTTGCATTAGGGTTTTGATATGAGTTTTATCCCTAGTGTTGAACGCATTGGCCTGGATGTGGTCAATGATATCTTCTTTGACGGACGGGACAAATTTGGCAACGTTGTTGAAAGCATCTTGATTGACATTGAGGTAGTTAACAAAGTCAGTTGTGAAACTGTATGCAGTGTCAATGGGTTCTGTGAGTTTGGGGTAGTTGTAATGCTCAATGTGGGGGTGGAAGGAGTGCTTTGCGCCTTTTGTGCTTCTGGTGGTAGTCATGATGGAGGTTGAAAGTCGAGATGATGTTGGAAGTATAATATATATTTTGATTCGAATCAGAAGAAATATATTTTATGGGAAGTGTTGCGAAGCAATTAAAAATACAAGGGTATCTTATAAGAAGTACTGGTTTTCATGAGAAGCTTGAATTTTGTTTGAGTTGAAATTTTGCAGCAAGGCAGGTCAGACGTGTAACGTGAGGTGGTCGCGTGTAACGTGAGATGGTCTCGCCGTGGGAATAAGTAGCTCATTTGTACGTGCGTAGGATGCGTACGGGATTTATTTTTAATTCATTGTGGGAATTAAAAAAATGGAAGTGGGTTTGTCGGTGCCAAATAAGTTTTGTTGATTGTAGAAAAGGAAAAAAGTTTTGAAATTTTCAAGATCAAGAAAGTGTTGTGAGCAGTGACAATGGCGATCGTCTCCAAATTTGGTAACGATTATTTCAAAATTGTTACTTTGAAGACAATGGTGGCAACAAGGCGTATGTGTTGTTGGAGATGATGGGAGACAATATATTGTTCAAAGGTGTGTGTTGACACAGTGTTGGTAGAGTTTGTATTGAGGAGAGATCACGCCTAAAAAATTATCACCCTTGTTGTGATGAATTTTATTGGAAGGGTGTCATAACCTGTGGGAATGACTGTCCTAAAAGTGATGTAAAGTGTGTGCTAGAAGAAAAGTGAGTCAATGCTCTTATCAAGGATTGACAAACTATGAAATCTAAAATGGATCACTGTGAGGATCGAGTGATGTGTGAATTGAATGAGTCGAGTCACTCACGCAAGTGAATGAAAKGAGTCATGTCAATCGTATGAATCCAGTGGGATCACGTGAGTCATATATGTATGGTGTGTATGAATCGTAGATACTTATCTTATGTATGTGTCATATGTATGAATCATACCCACAGTCTGATATCCTACAGACAGCACTGACATGCCCAACTGTAAACCAAACAACCAAACAACAAGAACAAACGCCAAAAACAACACTAAAACTGACAGCAACAAGACCAGCCACTAATTAAATTCAGCAACCACCACTGGCAAAAAGGCAAATTTGGGCAATGCAACCTCATAAATAGACCTCACCAACAGCTACCCCACCCCACCCCACCCCACCCCACCCCACCCCACACACGTAAAACCACAAAAAGAAACACAAATCATCACCAACTACTACAACAACCAAGCAACAGGAAATGCTCACTAAGTCAAAATTGTACAACAAAGAAATCTCGTAAAGCTTACACCACCATCATGCTTACCCTACAACTGTGCTCAGGGTAAATTAAAAACCATTGTTTGTCATATTATCAGTATTGGTAGCACTACTCGTACTATTACATGGAAAGTAGGATTTGTCGTCCGAAGGTATTGATTTGAATTCAGATCAGATATTTAGAAAAAGGAGACATCTGGCCTAATGCAGCAAGTTCCAGGAAACACTACCACTGCTTAATGGTTAGGGAAAGGATTGTACTAGAAATTGGAATTATTCCCCATCAACGGGTGTGCCTGTTGTTTCTTTTGCACTCCATGTTGGTCGAGAAAATGATTACAACAAAACTATCAGTTTTCACAGAAGCACTTGTCATAATTTCAACTATTTTTTTTCAAACTTCTACATTGGTTTCAAGATATTGAAGAATCACTTCCGCGACGCGAGTTACGAAGCAGTGATCCTGAGAGTTCTTTTCATTGATGGGCAAACAAACAATGCACGGCCAAAGACTCACAAGTTCGATGACTCCAACGCCCACAACTCGTGTAGGAATATTATGACTTTGTATTTGTGAGTGAAGCTTTTCTTCTGATCGGTTCGTTAGTCGTATCACAAACACTGATTGTTATTAAAGTAGCGAAAACAAAGAGCGCAAAAGGACGACGTTCCTATAACTTATGCCTTGGATGCAGCATCCTTCGCCTTATCTACGGCGCTGGAAAGGGCGGTCTTCGCCTTGTCGGTGAGTGAGTACTCCTCGTTGAGTTCCCCGATCTTAGCAATGGTCTTTTCTACAAGATCTCCGACAACTCCGAGAGCGGTCACACCAGATCCGACAAGATCATATTCGTCGTTGACCTCTTCAATTTTAGCTTTGGTGGAAGAAAGCGCACCTTCGACTTTCGCGATGGCTGCAGGGTCAATTGTCTCTTGAGCCTTGAGCTTGTCCAAAGCGCCTTCAAGGGAAGCCTGGGCAGAAGCAAGAACTTCGTACTTGCTATCGAGAGTCGCCAAGTAGTTGTAGACTTCGAGGGCAGACTTGGATACAGCTCCGACGATCTCTCCGGCTTCGTTATCAGCCTTAGAGACGTAGTTCGCGGCGGCAGCTCCGACAGCGCCAACGATAGGTCCTCCAACAACAAATCCGGCAACACCACCGATAAGACCGGCAGTGAACTCGACGGTTTCCTCCTTGATAGCAACGATTTTCCCCCCGGTTTCAGCATCTTCGGACATGAAGGTAGTTACGGCAGGTCGGGGGTGGGTTTGCGAAGGAGCAAAGGCAGATGCTCCACTGATGGTGGCCAATGCCAGGGTAGAGTAGGTCGTGAACTTCATCGTGTGTATTAACGTGTAATAATCTAATTTTACAAATACTTCGTAGATATGAAAACGGATTTCGAAAATTGGCACAACACTGTCATGCCATGGACCGATAGATTCTTGATTTCGAGTCCGAAATCACGACACTCTTGCTGATGATACTGCGTCTATGTGGTGCAACACGCGCTGATGCGAAGTCTAGCCGAAAATTTTCGAACGCTTTTATTCGTTCTCATAGCCGGGTAGGCTCGTCACAGTTGTGGTTGAAGGATATCTATCGAAAAATACTGCATAAGTAGTAACGTATGATTAATGATTATCATTATGATCTACGAATAGTTTTAGGCCCACGAAGTTGTCATGCTAATAATAGCTTTTTGTTGGCCGGCTACTGGATTCTTCTCGGATGACCAACCTCGCGCCGGTACGCCTCACGAAAACCAATAGCCGTTGTTTCGTTAAAAAAATTAACGGCTCCTCAGAGCGTACCAGTACGAGTAATGCGCTACGTGCCAGTACCTGGTACCGCCGACGAGCGTGAGAGATGAAAGCCTCGTTTTCTTCCCTTTCTTAAAAAAAAACGTGATTTACCATGACAAGGAAATAGAGGTGAATTTGACGATAAAATGGAAACCATGGCGACCGACAACAAGGACATACCTTTATCAAAAAAAAAAAAAACGTCCGAAAAGATGCTGCAGAGAACGAGATCTCAAGAAATGGTCGATGAGCTTCACAACCATATTGTGGACGAAGACCCTCTGCTAATTTCACAATCGTTGACATACGTGACGGATGACGGCAGTGTTCTGCACTCGTTCCGATCTGCTCCATTTTCTTGGGGTGCGTTTATCTTCTTTTTATCCAGTTAGTTAATTTCTGGTGTTCTACAAAATGCGCTGACCTTTCCGCGACTCTTTTTTTGCCTCTCGTCGCTTCTATTTCCAATCGAATGGAATTGGCATGGGTCGACTGAATGGATAAATCTCGGGTTCGTTTCGGATTGGCCTTGAATTCACACCTCAGGCTTCAAGGCCCGATTTGTCATCTTAGAATCTCTCTTTATTTTGCTTTGTGTTTGTGCAGTACCTGTTGGTGCCCACGGCACAGTAGTTGCTGTAACGGTTGCCAACCTTCTCGCTGTTGCTTGGTTCTGGTACAATCACGTCCGAACCGTAGACGTTACCGCAGACGGAAGCCTCCGATTTTGGATTGGAAACATCGAGGTTGAAGTCCCGTTTGAAAAGATCATTGCTATCCGAAGGGTTTCCACGGCGAATGCGCCGTGTGGCTTCATGCAATTGTCCTCGGTCTGGCCCTATCGTGGCTTTTTGTCCAACACCGAGGAAGGAGTAGCAGTGGTAACCACGGTTTCCAGCATGCCGTTTTGGCTGTGGCCGCGATCCGCGGGAAAACCAGAACGCTCGTGGTGCTTTGGAATTCTGTATTGTCCAAAGCTCACAGTCGTCTTCTCTCCGATCGGGGGAGGACAAAATTTTATCAACGACGTTGAACGAGAAATGCTGAATTTTCAGAACATGACCGGAAAACGAAGAGGCACCAGCACCATTAATGGCAACGCGGGAACTCGTCCTGATGCTGATCTGCTTGATGTCTGAACGGAATTGCAAATCTATCGCACTGTTTTGTATGAGATTTATATTATTTCCACGTACAAGAAAATCGGTGTGTCTCGAAGGTGAGGACTATGTCTCCCGGTAACATATACTTAAGGGCATCCTTTGTTATATTACTTGTTCTATTATTGGTTAAAATTGTTCAGATAGTAAGTATGAAATGGTCGTTCCATCAGCATGATCTACGTCTGCTCGACCGGTTCGTTACAATTGAGTTCGGACGAACTTGATGCAATAATGGCAACTTCTGTGGGCATCTCAGCGAAGGCCTTCGTCTCACGAATCATTTGAACCGCTTCTCTTTTTGCAGCAATGTCTCCATTACGATAGTTGTTTTGCTTGTATTCATAGGACGGTGGCGGATCTAGGAATGGAGTCACGGACTGAATTAGAGACCACCCTTCGTTAAAGATGGAGTATGTTGCGATGCTAGAAGCCATATCAAGGGCCACTGGAACCGGGAGCTTCACAATGAAATTCAGACCAAACCATATTCTTTTCGCCCAGGATTCATGATACTCGTTGTTCGCAAGGCCGGGCCAACCAGCGAGAAATCCACCCCAGAGTTCCAATGGAAGCTTGAAAAACCCATCAAAGAAACCTCTTAGCCCCACCACATCTTGCTTCATGAGAAATTCTCCACCAAAGTTGGCAAAGTTACGCTGCCGTATGTTCTCCCTTGACCACAAGGCATTGTAAGCCGAGGCAACAGCTCGATCGAGGTTCGGGGTTTCCGATGCGAGCTCTTCTTCAATTGCTTCAGCCGCATCCGTAGCACCCATGAGGGCACGGCAGAGGTGATACCCGGTGCTCGGATGCACCATTGCCGCGGCACCACCAAATGCGAGAATCCTCTGATCGCGAGCAGGAAGAGCCCCGCCCATGGGAATGTAGCAGTATTCCTCTTCTTCTACATTGGCAACTTTGATTCCAAGGTGCTCCAATCGTGTGAAACACCGATCCTTACACTCTTGAAACGAGACAGCAGGTCTGGCCACTAAGGATGTTTCTTCGAAGAAAATTTTGTTGCCCTCAAGGGGCATCGCGTACATAAATGTAGGGGCCTTGGTCGCTTTGATGGATGTGTATTCGTCTCCATCGAAATGATCTGTTCTGTAGTCAAAAAGTGTCATGGCTTCTTTATCATAGGGTCCTACCATCGACAAGTTTGGCGACTGTGATTCATCTACTTCCACCAACGCACCATAGGCAATCTGAAAGCCAGGTGGAGTAGATGGTTCTATACTATCTTTTAATGTGATTTTGGTCTCGTGACCAGTCGTATCAATGACGATCTTCGTTCTCATTGTCAATGGGGATGCATCTGCATCCTGTGGTTGTAATTTTATTGTAGTCCCATCCTCGTCGTGGACCAAGCTCCCAGCAGGACTAAACATGTTGATTCCTATGGCCTCGGATATGTGATTTGCCTTTACAACACGAAAATTCTTTGTCAGTGACTTCTTGAGGGCAAAACGGTCCACTCGGCAGTATGGTCGATCCAATCTCATACGGTTTTCGGTTGGGATATCGTAACTTCCACCGAAGAAGCAGTCCGTGACTGGCCATTCTCTGTCGATGACCCCGTTCACCTCTCCGTCGTTCAAATCGATTCCTACGGATCCGTACCGGTCCAAAATGGTTTGCCACTCGTCTTTCCAAACTCCGTAGTTGGGCACCCAATCTGCGTCAAAGTCCTTGTTGGCCACAACTACGTCCAGGTTTCCACTGGCGCCCAACACCGAGGCGATGGCGCATCCCGCCGGACCACTTCCGAGGACGAGAACGTCACAGGAATCATCAAATTCCTCGCCATTGCCGCTTGCAGCTTTCAGTGGTGTGGGGGCACCATGCACAGCGGACACGAATCCGCCGGGACGACTGGGAGTCGTATCGGCGGTGCCGCCGATGAATGATCTCGGTGTCGAAAGGTTTGCCGTGAAAGCATGACCTAAACCAGCCAGCTCGCACGTGAAGAAAAGCGTCGTTGCAGCGACAATGATCCTCATGGTTACAATAGTTCGTACTAGTAGTCAATTGGAAGAATGCGAGAAGACAAGACGCGATTTGTACAGACCAACCCTAATTTTATTTGGGGTGACACAAGATGATAGAGTCCTACCGTACGGTACAGTACCGCAGACGGTACCAGGTACTTCGTTCTGTACTTTACAGTAGTTCATATCGATTGTTCTTCTCGTTGTAAATTGTAAATGCTTAAATACAGTTAAACGCTCAGTACATGTAGGAACTACTTTACTGTATTACGGTACGTTTTGGTGGTCGTACCGCTACCGGTAGAGCTGAGCTTGCAGTGGAAGATACGGTTTTTCAGTTTGTCTTATTTCGAACTCAAATACGGTACAGTAAGTACCAAGTACGTACGAGTAATCAGGGGTCATAATAGAAGAGGGGTGTGCAACGAATCGAAAACTCATATTCCACGTGTGGTCCAAATTTCCAAAAATTCACCCCAGGATTTTTGTGAAGTCTCATTTTTATTGCATAATACTAGTAAAACTATACAACCTTTGAGCAGTTACAGCTTTATCAAAAATACTACTATTTTGATTTTTGAGTAGTCAGTCTGCAACAGATACGTATGTACCGTGTCGAAAGTATACGGTACAGAGCTTCAAAGAAAGGAATGAAGGAACATACCATTCCTACGTACCTATCGTAAGGTACCCTTCCTATGCACGTATCATAGGATCCATCGTAAGAGGTCCGAGGATCATAAGAGGTTGCAGAGGTCCAAGATATCTAGAGTTAGAATACCTTACAAAGAACATAGATGTCACGAGTTCCAAATACTAAGAACCCTGTGTAGATTGAGTACCAGATCTACACAAGTAACTAATCAGAACTTCAGAAATCTCACATCGAGGTTCAATAATCTTAATCTTATAATTCAATTTTCATACACATGCAACGGATGCGTACGTACAGTATCGGAAGTATACGTATGTACGTACTAAGAGGGAAGCATACGTAAATACGATGCTCCCTCGGAATGGAAGAGCATACCATTCCTACCTACATATCATAATATACTATTCATATATGTATCATACGATCCCTCAGTTGAAGATCGTGAGAGGTCTGCAAGGTCAAAGATACTATTTGAGAATACCTCACAAAGAATAGAGGTGTCACGAGTCCGGAATAGAGAACTCTCGTGTAGATTCCCTACCAGGTCTACATGAGGTTCTAATCGGAACTTTGGAATTCTCGTAAACGCGCTCAGTAATCTTAATCTTATAATTCAATTTTCATACATTCTTAACACCTACTAAGAGTACACGTAATCTCTTGCACTTACTAAGTGATTTTC